TTTTTTTTTGGTGTTGAGAAAAAAAAAAAAAAAAAAAAAAAAAAAAAAACTTAACTAAATCACAAATGAAGTATCTCCAGTATCTTGTCTGGTTTCTGAGTGTTAATTTACCTTGACTGAAACGGGGTCCAGCACCCCTTCTCCTGGCTGGCGAAGCAGAGCTTGGGAAAGCTTTGTCATCTAGATCTGAGTCATAGTCCACCAGGTCAAAGTAGACGCGGGGTTTCACAACACGCTTTGGCTGTTTCCTTACTGATGGACTGTTAGCGTCACCCTGGAGACCAGATGGTGAGTCCGCGATACTGTCGTTCCCTTCGTCATTACTTGAATGACCCCCGCTGAGAGAAGATCGCCGTCGCTTAGATGCACCTTAATAAAAGAGGGGAAAAAGAGCAGATATGTAGCTGACACGCGGGATGTTATGAAGTATTACAGCATCATGAGTGAAAAATTACCTTTGGGCACCGTTCTCCCACTTAGTCTGCGTGCTTTTCTTTCTTCAATCTGATCACATCTTTTATAGCTTGTAAAAAAAACAAAACAAAAGTCCACATTATTTTTGAAGACTGTGCTGTGCTGCGCTAGAGTTAATAACTATGTACAAGTCAACTTACACACAACACTGTCGTTTGGTATTGGGACCACCAAACTTGGGTTTGTCAAGGCAGTTCATGCACTTGCCACAGTCCTCCTCGTGGTTGCAGCCTTTGCATACTCCACACCTGCGAGAGCGATAGCCAAATGGCCCGAGGCCTTTCCGTTTCACAAAATTCGATGGCTTCTTGGCCTTTGGGACCTTTAGGTCTGATAGTCCAGGACTGTCTGACTCTGAGGGAGACCCGACATCTGCAACAACACACAGACAATAAGAAGAGGAGTCTGATACAATTCATTTGTTGGTAGATTTTATTTTTCTTAAAGCAAGTTGTCATCTATGTTGCAAAATGAATTTTCAACAACAGATCATTTGATGGAAATAATTTTGAGATGGTTTAGCAACTGTAAATTTTAATATTTACATTATTATTTTTAATCAGTTAAGATGATTTTTAAAATATGGCTTAATTTAATGTGCAGTACCTCTGTTTGCATTTAACAACTAAATGAATCAAACTGCAAATTCAGACATCTAAATGCTGGATCATGGGGATAAACAGTAGGAGTCCAGTTCAATAGCTTCCCTGCTAAGAGACACTGCCAAACTGGTCTGGGTTCATCAATAATAATGTAAATCACTTTGAATCATCAAATTAAAAGTGTATCCCGGACTCCATCCTCTGCCAAGATTGAGAAGCTTCAAGTCATACTGTATCACTACTACCACTGATGCTGCCTTCAAGTCATAACATTCAGGTCCCAAGAAATGTTATTCAATAAAGCAAATCCAAACAGGTTTGTCAGTCAGGTCACATTTACCTTTAGTGATGGCCGACGGGGAAATGCCACTTCTTTCATGCAGAGGCAAGGCGCTAAGTCTGGGAATGTCATCTGGTACCAAGGCCCGGGGCTGCCCGAGTACCACAGATGCAGCACGACATACGTGCTTGATACGTGGACCTCCTGCTCTACGGAACTCCTGGCAGAGCGGGGAGATGAGCTGTGGCTGGAGGGGGAAAAAACAATATGAAGAGGCTAGAATTGACAGGGGGCTCAATATTTTTCAAAGTGATAAGTTTCAACTACAGCAGAAAATTAAATAAACTCAAAAAAACTTTGATAAAACCAGGGCCCGAAACAAGATGTTTAGCTAGATCAACTTCCCCCTCTCAGGCCTATTGATTTGTACTCTTACTTGTCCTTGAGGTGGCTCTGTCTTGACAGGAACATGAGAATCAGGCTGCACCCTCTGCTTCCTCCTCTGTCTCTTAGAGGTCACATCTCGAGACCTGGCACCAGCTGGGCCAGATAACAGCTGCAGGGTTAATAGGCAAAAACAAGGCATCAATACAAACCTCCGAAAGCTAGCTTTCCTCTACACCAGCTAGAAATCAGCTTTTATCACTCGTTTTCATATAAGGTTTTCCTCTTCTATAACAGGTTCTATATCATAGAACTAATAATAAAAACTGAAAGTCCACATTGACTGAAAATGCTTGTGGTGATCAGGAACTTACTCCAGATGACTTAAGCTGTTTCTGCTGGTCAATTTTAATGAGCTGGACCTTGGCTTTCCTGAGGAGATTGAACATTCTTTTATTTGCACCAGTGAGGCGTGCTCTTTGTGAAGAGCCCTTCTCCGCCGCCCCAAGGTGATCACCTTCACCTAAGCCTGAGTTCTGTTCTGACTGCAACTCTCCTGTGGATAAAAAAAAATATGCACCAACTTCAGGTCCCTTACAGAGTTTTGTCTTCAAGGAAATAAGAAAACAAATGTTGTTTGCTTAACATTATTCTGATGCTTTTTAATAATGTTGCTTACCTGAGTGAAGTTGGGCAGTGTCTTTCCCAGTTAAATCCTCCTCCTTACTCTGCTGAAATGAAAAGGCCTTGGAGTTCAAAGTCCGAACACACACAGAGACTTTTCTCACCACCCCAGGAGTATCAAGGTCTTCTATCTTGAGCTTGGACTTCTCTTTCTCTGTGTCTGTATTCCGTTGTCTAAGGCTGATGCTCATGGCCTCATCATCGAGTCCTTCTGCTAAATCAATGGGGGGCTGAAAAGGTTTACTCACGCTATCCATCTCTGTGGTGATTTTGTTTTTCGATAGCCCTGTGTGTGGCTTCTTTAGCTTTTGATAAATCTTGAGGTGAGCTGCTTGCTTATTAAACTTAGGGGAGCATTTCTTTTTCTGAGCTTCCAGTAGGTCAGTGGATAACTCTGTGGGCTTATCGGCTGGTGTAGATTTAAGCAGATCCTCACAGTTGTTCTCTGGAGTTTTGTCCAGTGTATACACTTCCTCACTAGACTCCTCTGGCATGTGCCAACTGAAACTAGAGTTCTTCAGAAGAGGTCTGCTCTTTTCATTTTTTCCACATTTTTTATCAGAAAATAGGCTATCAGCTAGATCAATGGTGTCATCTAGGTCCTGAGCTGAAAACAGATCAACATCCAATTGAGCTTCACTCAGTATGTCCTCATCATCGACTGGCAGGATAGGGGATATTGGGGACATCACATCATCACGCCTCTTTCCTGGACGTATTTGCAAGCCAAGTTGTAAACTCTTCTTTGGGGAATTTCTCCGCGGTAAAACGGACATTCCAACATCATCCATAAACCTTTGTGGGGTCTTGATCACTCGTGATGATCTGGCACTTACTACCGGCATAATGAAGTGCTTGATGTTTTTTATAAACTTTGATTTACCGGGCGGAGTTTCAACAACATTTGCCTGTCCACCATCGACTAATGTGTCTGTTTCTTCCTGCTTCAAACTATCTTTACCAAGCTCAATTTCTATGAGCTTAGAAATTATTTTAGTCTGTGGTTTTGGCCTTTTAGATTCAATAAACTGTAGGCTTGATTGTTTGTTCTTGTACTTTGTATGTACTCCAATAAGTTTGGAGCTTGGAGCCAATGCAGTAGCTGTTGATGTGGTGGAAATATCACAACCCCCTTCAACAGTATCCTGGCTTTCAGATAATTTAAGTGGAGCAAATTTCCCATCTCTGCCCCTGTGCCTGTGTTTCTGACGCTGCCCAATCAAGCTTTTACGTCTCTTTTTTACTTTTTTCAGAGATTTCTTTTGTAGGCATGATGTTTTTGGGTCACTTGCTGGACTCTGTGATACCAACGACTGCGGACTATCTATCAACTGAATATCTGTTTCCTCTTTTACCGGTAGGTGTATCTGCTCCTCTTCCACTGGCACGGGGTCCTGTTGTGCCTCAGGCTGGGTGCAGTCTTTTGTTTCCAGCTGACTTACCCCTGTAACTAAAGGCTGAGTATCCTCCTTTAGCACGGACTCTGTGTTAGCAACTTCACCTGTAGCCAACTCTGTGCTGACAGCAGGTTGAGGGGAGATGGCCTTTTTCATTTGAGCAGACTTCTTCTTTTCCAATTTATTATTTCTACATCTTCTAGGCTTGGAAGGTACAGGCAACAGTTTGGCCTCTTTGTTCTGTGGTTCTACCTCACTTTCTACTTTCAGTGGAGAAACTTCACCTGGAACCTGTGGGGGATCATCAGCATTCTTTGGGGAATCCTTATTAAGAGCTTCAGAGGGATTAACACTGGTCACCTGTGAGGGGTCCTCAGCCGAAACCTGACAGGAGATTTCAGGAAGAACTTGTGAAATGCAGACTTCAGTTGAAACCTGAGAAGAACCTTCAACGTGCACCTCTGCAGTAACATTATCGTGCAGACTCCTTCTAAGCCTTGGTTTTTGAGCGGCCACTTGTTTATGACTAACAGACTTTTTCTGTGTTGAATCAAGACTTGATGCCCTCCTCCTTAGTCTCCTAGTTGGTGCGACTTCAGCATCCAGTGATGATGAATTGTTCTCATTAACTTCACTTAGGTTTTTCAGAACATGCTCCTCCTTTTCAGCCACAGGGCTAACTTGAATTAAAAATGATGACTTTGTGGCTTTATGTTTACCAGGAGAGGAGACCTTTTTGATCTGAAGAGGCGGGACTTTTCCGCAATCTGTTTTAGTGATTTTTTGTGGAGCTGCTTCAGCTATGTGTTCCATTTCAGCTTCCTCCTGTAAAGTGGGCTTTTCCTCAAATGGCACATCAGCTTGGTTTTGGGAAAATGTATTACTTTCTGTGCTTTTATTCTCTTCTGGGGTTGAGTTATCCAATTTTGATTCTTTATCAGTCCCCGTCAAAGTGGTGTCGACACTGGTGTCACACACAGTGGACTGATCCACTTCACTGACAGTCTTCTGTGCTGTGCCGACAGTGGTTTTATCAACCCTTGTCTGACTTTCTCCCTTCACTAATGTTAAAGTCCAGATAAATTTTCTCCGTTTTTTCTTTCGAGTTGAAGTCTTCCCACTGGACTGTGCATCATATTTTGGGTTTCTCATCCGTGTCAACTTTAAACTTGGGACCCTCATTTCCTCATTTTTCAAATGCAAACTGTCACTGTGCTTTTCAGTCTCTGTGGATGATGGACCATGGTCTCCCGGCACTGTAACATCCTTATTCAGCCTCTTGCTTTGTCTTCGTCTGTCACTTCTCACTAGTGGTTTGGCCTCCGCTATTCTGGAAACTTCTGATTTTGACTCTGTCAGAATGGCATCACTTTTACTCAGACTCTCTGGCTGAGCTGTATTGTCTGAGACTTTTTTAGAGTGAGGATTAGCAACTCTATTGCTCCTACGAGTCACCAACTGATTAACTTCAGAACTTCGCTCTGCCACAATTTCCTTTTGCTTTAATTTCTTGACATTTGTTTTTGGCTCTAGAGTCCGACTTTCCTTTATAGTCTCCAACTGATCAGCTGATTTCCTCTCTTTTGATTTTTGGACATCAACCACAACTTTGGCGCTAGTCTGGCAGACAGGCTCTGTTGTCTTTGAAGCAGATCTTCCACGCCTTCTTGCAGGTATAGTACCCCCTCCCTTATCGTCTGTGACAGGTTTATCCTCATTTGGTTCAGTTTTTAATTTGATGCAAGCACTTGAAATCTGGTCACCCTGAACGCCCTTGGCTTTAGACTGATCCTGAATTCCTTTTATCTTCATCTTCTTCACAGACTTTTTATGAGGCTCTTTTACAGTTTTCGTTTTCTCTTTGGCCACCAATTTTATAGTAATCCTCGGCGCTGCTGATGAAGCTCTGCTTTTATTGGACTGTCGATCCACAGCATTTTTTCCTTTTGAACGTTTTCTGCAATCCTTCACAGGCTCGGCTTCAAAAGATAAGCTTTGAACTTCCTCCAATGATTTTACATCTTTTACAGGATCAGGTGGGGAAATAGCTGCCTCCACTGCTGGTGTTATAACCGGTAGCTTCTCACTCTGACGTTTAGATTTTGTGTTGGCAGTATCTCCTACAAAACAAAAAATAATTAAATATTCTAACATCAATAGCTCCTCCACTGAATGCAAAACTGGAATAGAAACCAAGCCTCTTCGGTATTGTGTTGCATGTTTAATTCTAACTTTATCTACTTGTGTGCCATTTATGAATTACACCAAATATGTCATGTGATGCAGTAATATGATTTTCTTTACCTTTTGAAGGGTTTTGGCGAGACAGTTGAGGTCCTTTAGAGCCTTTTCTCTCAGCTTCAAATCCTCTAAAGTCATCTCCCTTGAAAATAAAACAAAACAATAAAAAAAACATTCACACTTGAAGCAGCTTAATACCACTCCACTGGAGGTTATCAAACCATCAGCAAAGCAATATCTAAAATGTTTTAATTTGTAGTATTTGCACTGTGAAATATTGGGGTCTTACATTTTGTCTTATACTTAAGTACATTTCCTATCCCTGTTGTATGAATGGTATGCAATGCGTAATACAGCTGCTTGTGTGTGTTTTGTGTGTACATGAATGTATGTTAAGCACCGCTGGGAGGGGCACTCTCAATTTCATTGTATCCTGAATACAATGACAATAAAGTTTTCTTATCTTATTTATTTTAAATTCTATGGGAATGCCATTAAATACATCCACCACACATACCACGTTAAATGAGGTAGAGGGAGAAAAATTTCTGTGAATGATTTTTTATGAAGCATTGATTTATGTCCAGCACAATGATGGTTTAATGAATACACCTACCAATATAATGTATGGTTACCTTAGTGGATTAAATTTGAGGACACTGGATTACAGATTCTGTCAAATAATAATAAAAACCAGGACATGGTTTTGCTGTGATTTGGCACTGCATAAATAAAACTGAATTGACAAAAACAACATGTTATTTGCTTAAAATTTTAGAGCAATAATATCAGTGAGAGAAGATGAGCAATCGTTTTCATGTTCCACATTCAAACCATGTTCATTCATCTGAGTTGTAGGATAAACATAAACATGCATAGGATCAGCATTCCTAGCAGCCAAAAACGCATGTGCTGTTTTAAAGGTACTCTCCCTTAACTTTTCAACGTGCAGTTGTGTGTAATTTGCTATTTAATACCTCATGCATAATCAGAATTCTAAAACCTCTGTAAGGTTCAAATTTGGGTTAGGACAAGCACCTACCACCGACAAAACTACAAGGAATAGTGGGTCTGTAACTACGATTCCCCTACATCCTCCTCATGCTTACTGCTGTGACCTGAAAGGCTACTCACAGCTCTACTATCGTGAATCAGGATTAAATGGTAACTGCTACATGCACGAGTAGGAAGCTTTCAGTTCTAAAAAAAAAAACAAGGGTGCAACTGGCTTTGGCATACTTCTGCAACCCCACTTAAATCTGTCGTGTTTAATAACATCAGCTAGCAATTAGCCATGCCATTCACTCAAAAGCATTTAACTCACTTCTGTGTGCAGAAAAACTACCTAGCCATAATACTAAATTAGTTATGAGTCATTATATCTCAGTTACATTAGGCAGACAAATAACGTTAGGATCCCGCTGGAGTTCTGCGTTATTTACACTAACGAAGCAGACAACTCTGTACACGTATGGGCAGCGTATGAAAACAGAAGAGTTGGAAGTTAGCCGCTATAGAGAGGCGCTAGCCTTCCCGTTCTTTGTGTTCGCCCCTATTAGCTAGCTGCTACTCTGGCCTGATAACGAAGCGGGCCGCAGATGAATTACGGTCCCTGTTTACAAACTGGCGTACTCAGAAACTGATTTTTTTCCATCTTTTAATCATGCTTTCACCTTTTAATATTTTAGCTCTGTAGTGCAGTTGATTTAACTGTGCTAATGTAACAAAGTCTTCTGTTGCTTTACTGAAATGGTAATTTGTGTTGCGCCTCTTCATTAAATGTCAAGTAAAGCTTCACAGAGCTAACACTATTAGCATGTAGGGTTAGCTTACTAAGCTTGACGCTAAAGTTAACGTTAGCCTGGCAAAGGGATGTTGACATTTCTCCATGGCACTAACCAGTCACACTGCTGTGGACAGCACTCATGCCCACACATTAACGATCACACAAAATGTGAGAAGATGAAATAAAGATACTAACTCCTGGTTCGGTTTGGGACCTCACCTCTTCACTCCCACTAGAGCTGTATCCAGCCTGACCAAGGATCTTGTGGCTCGCCTCTATCCCAAGCAAGCGCATATGAGACTGGTCTTCGTTTAACGATAGAACCAGGTTTGTGGGCCTTGGCCCTCCGTTAGTCACATCATCACCTTCTAAACCTGATCGTCCAAGTTGCCACCGCTTCTCAGAGCGCAAACGACTGCGTGACGACCAAGGCCGACCGGGGAAACGACCTCTGGCCGTAGCGGTTCCACCTTGGCCTGCTACGGCAGGGCGGG